AATTTTTGTGCTATTTTATTAATTTATATACCAACATTTGTAACTCATTTTCTTAAATTCCTTGCACAACCTTGTCATCTGCACACAATATTGTTTTACATGTACTTCCCACATTATATACACAGGGAGATTACTTGTAAGTCAAGTTGAAGCATGGCTCTTTAACTACATGTGATCTGATCATTGGCATTGATTTCTATCTATCCTGATGAGTCATCCATTAAATGGACTTCATTTCTGCAACTGGTATCATCAGTCCATAACAGAGAACTTGATCACGGGTTAACATTTTTTTCAGACAATGTTTCTTTTACTTGTACATGTGATGACACACAATACAGACAGTGAAGCACAACAAATCTACACTTTATACATAAAATTTCATTCCATGATGTACAAACTGGTATTTAGTATGCCCTAAGTGGGAGGAGGTCAAGTGGTCCTGCATTATGAAGAAGCGATTAGTCATGCAAATTGTGTTAGGCAGAAATATAACAATTTTCAGCCCATTTGCAGACAAAGAGTAATGACATTTCCAACAGACACGATTACTGAGTTTTGGACTTTGTCCATCATCTAGAATTGTAAACAACACAGTATTTCAGAAATTGGATCTTTTTTCACCCTCAAGTGAGAAAGTGGGAGGCACCTACTCTATTGGGTCCATTAGAAAGAGCTAACCTCAATCAGTGGACAACTGAGATTAGCCCTTTCCAAAAGACCTGACACAGTATGTGCCTCCCAGCTACAGATGGAAACAGATCCAGTTTGTGTTCTTTAAATTACCGGACAAGGGATAAAGTCCAAGAACTCGGCAATCCTGAGTGTTAAACACCACAGTCAGAATCATATGGAATACATTTCCAACAGAATTCTGTAGGTGTGAATAGCATGCAAACACTGAACAGAGGGTTTGGTGAAACGATTATAAATCATGGTTTGAGGGCCCCTTGCCCTCCCAGCATTAATCTATTCAGTTTCTTCTTGTGGATATTTACATGAGAAAATCTACTGAACCAATTCACACATAGAAGATGAGCTGGGATAGCTCAATTGGTATAACAGGCTATGAGCTGGATGGCTGGAGTTAAATGTCTGACAGCAGCAAGATTTTTCTCTTCTCTATAGGATCTAAACTGCCTCTGAGGTCCACCCACCCTCCTATCCTATGGCCTCAGGGAGATCTTTCACCAGGAGAAAAACAGCAAGGGTGTGAAGCTGACCACTCACCTCCATCTAGTGTCAGGATCAAAAATGGTAGAGCCATACCTCCACGGTAACAAAATAACAATAACAAAACATAATTAAGTTCACCATGAAATTCTTACTGCTATTCAGTTCCCATGCTGTTACTGTCTTTCATAATTTCTAGATCACTAAAGATTATGAAATGTTGTATATAACAAACTTATTTTGTCTACTGTTTTTGTATGGCCGTGGGTATGTATGGTTTCTTATGCTAAATTAAATACATACATTGCAAAAATTTTGAAATAAATCATATGTAAAAGTTTGAGCAAATGCGAAGTAAATAAGCAAGAAATGGGAAAGAAATTACACAACATTGGGCTTCATGACCTAGATTCTTCACTCAATACCACTGAAGGAAGGATAGACTGGATATACAGCTTGAATGGGAGAAGCAAGAAATGCATATATAATTTTGAATGCTTTAATGCCTTTTTAAATTTAGGACTGATACACTATTATGCAAGTACAACACAAGTCTGCTAAGTCTGGAACAGAGAAGTTGCTCTGGGACACACACAAAAACCTGCATGCACACACTAAAATAATTGCAGGAATACAGCATTAAATTTACCTCAGGCTCATCTGTTATGCAGAAATATTTCCTTCATTACTCAAAAAATGTTTCTTGAATTCTTGAAGAGCTTTACTTCGATGTGAAATCTTGTTCTTTTCTTCCTTAGGCAATTCAGCGTAAGTCTTATCATAGCCAAGTGGTTGGAAACAAGGGTCCCAACCAAATTCACGGGTACCCCTGGGGCTAACAATATGACCTTCTGTCTTCCCTTGGAACAGGAGTATGCTATCATTCTCCCCCCCTGGGGAGTATGCAAATGTGCATACAGCATAAGCAGACTTGTCTTCCCAGCCTGTTAACATCTGATACAACCCATCTGGCCCAATCTTCTCCAGAAACCACTTAATGTATGGTCCTGTGGAATAAAATCAGTACTATTTATCCTTTACCATCTGACCTAAAGCAAAACTGTACCACAATAAAGTAAGTAAGTAAAGTAAAAATGTCCCTGTGCTTAACTAATTAAGCACTACACCATGAAGACGTATGGGAGAGTGGATGTATAGATCCACATTTTTTCGACCTCGGCACTGGCTGGAGGTCAGTGGTCAGCTTCACACCCCTGCTGCTTTATCTCCCAGGGAAAGAGCCCTTGGTACCCATTGGATAGGAGGTTGGGTGGAGCCCGGAACCAGTCTGGACGACACAGAGAAGAGAAAATTCTTCAGACTACTGGGATTTGAACTCTTGACTTTTCAGTTGTCCAGCCAGTAGCCAGTCCCTATACCGACTACACTATCCCAGCTCCTAAATGTACAACACTACAATAAAATATTAATAGAGGATAACATTAAAATGGATTTTGGAGAAACAGGTTGTGATTATAACACTGATCAACTCCATTATTTAAAAATGCTGTTTCAACTGTAGATGCTATGTAGCATCAAGTGAAACAGGAAGATGACTATGCACAGCAAGTATATACAAATTTTTAAGGACGTGGTGAAGGCTTATTTGCAGGCACAATCCCAGAATTTTACTGGGAAGACTGATGAAAACAAAATGTAAGATGTGCTAGATAAATTTACTGGGAGAAAACAATGAGAACACAGGATTTTTCATTGATTAACTGATTTCAAGACTGAAGGAAAGAGAGATTCCAGAGGGTTCTGACAATGATGTATAACACTCAGGGTTACTAAGTTTCTGGACTTTGTCCACCCTCTGGTATTCTAAAGAACAAGTTTTGGAAACTGGACCTGTTTCTGTCCTCAGGTGAGGGGGGTGGGAGACACCATTCTGAGGGATCCATTAGAAAGAGCCAATCTCAATCACTGACAACCTGTGTCAATATAACTAAAGTCATATATATGAGGTCTGACAATAAAGTCTCTGAACTCAGCACCATGTGCTTGCCATGGCAGTAGTAGACAGAAACCTCAGTATGGTTTGATGATGTTGGCATATCAGTATTTCACAACTGTGATGTTGTTGTTCATCTATGGCAGTCTCTTTCTGAGTGGCATCTATAAATGAGTGTGTACTGGTGTGCCATTGCAAGAATGTCGGCATGAACATTAAATTTCCTGTTAAACTTGGCAAGAATGGAAGTGAATTCAGAGAGATGTTAGTGCAAGGTTACAACGATAATGCTATCAAGAAAACAGCTGTTTACAAGTGTGTGACATGTTTTTCTGAGGGAAGAGAAAGTGTCACTGATGGAGAGAGATCAGGAGAGCCAGCAACGAGCAGAACCGAAGAAAGCATTGCAAAAATTTGTCAAATTGTGAGTGAAAATTGTTGGCTGACTGTCAGGAGCATAGCAGAGCAAGCGAACATCAACACAGAAGCAGTTAGGGAAACCTTAACTGAAGATCTTGACATGACAAAGGTGTGTGCAAAAATGGTCCCAAAGGACCTGCTCAAATGGAATTTTTAGCTAGTAAATAAATGTGCTAGAACACCCTCCCTATTCACCAGATCTAACCCCCAAGGACTTTTTTCTGTTCCCAAAGACAAATGAAATATTAAAACGTAGACATTTTGATGACATTAATGACATCAGGTGTAATATGACAGCAGGACTGAAGGCCATTCCAAAAAACCCGTTCCACAATAGTTTTCAAGGATGGACTACGTGCTAGCATTGGTGCATAGCTTTCAAGGGGAGCACTTTGAAAGTGACCATAGTGATTTTCAGCAATGAGGTATGTAGCACTTTTATTGCAATGAGTTCATGAACTTTAATGTCAGACCACATAGACCCAAAATAAGGTTTTCTCACGTTGAGATAACAGGATACTTTTTTATTATACATTTTCCTGTTATCTCCCCTTGATAAAACCTGATCTCAGGTGTATATATGGCTGTAGTTATACTGATGCAAGTTGTCCAGTGACTGAGGTTAGCTCTTTCGAATGGACACCATAGAGTACTTGTCTTCCACAAGCCTTGCCTGAGGACAAAACCAGATCCAGTTTACAAAGCATTGTGTTCTTTAGAACACAGAGAATGAACAAAGTAAAAAGAAACAGTAATCATGAGAAGGAAAAATACTTCTGGAATGTGACACCATGCAATCTGGTAAAAGTCTACTGATGTTTCAGAGGAATGATGTCAATAAGATCTACCAGACTATACAGCGTCACACTCCAGGCAAAATACTCTTCATAGTCACCAGCATAAGAACCTTAAATCTCACTGTGCTAAGTATTCAAAAGAAAGTAAATAGCAACATGGTTTCAGGTCCTCTTACAAATAAAGTCTGGCATGCTGCTTCATCTAACTCCAGTTTAAGCACATCTTGTGGTAACTTTTATGCTGTTTCAAATGAAGATGTTATATAATGTCAAATGAGAGTGGAAGATGATTGTGCCTAGTAAAAATATAAAGGTTTGGGAGGAGATAACCATGTTTTATTTAAAGGTACTACAAAGGCATTCACAAAGAGAGACTATTAAAAAACATGAACATAAATCTCAGGACTGCCAACAGTGTGACTGACATTCAATCTGGGTATCAAACAAGTCATGAGCACTGTCAGTATATAAAAATGCTTGGCAAAGAAACAAAGAACTGCCTCAACAGACATATGTCTGATGGGGAAGGATGACAGTCACTTGAGATAATCCTGAGAAGATTTAAGTTGTATATACAAGTAATTTCACATACACAGTATAATAAACAAAGTAATACTGTTATAAATAAGATAAGAGATTCCTCTCTATAATTGTACCTGGAAGGCCACCCATAGCATTGAAGCAAAGGCAAGTATCTTCAATAAGTACAGGACCTTTCACAATCCTGGCAGCTTCTTTACATTTGTTAATACAAATATCATTTATTTCTCCCTGATATTCTGGTAAATCTATCTTACGGCTCTCTACCTGGAAACAAACAGCACGGTTATGATGCTTATAACAACAAAACTACACCCTGTCAAAGTTTAAATCAGATCTGCATAAGATGTAAGTGCAGCAATGTAATATGAGTATAAATAAAAACATATGCAATGCATACATGCTACGAGGGTAAGTCAATAAGTAAGCTACAAATGGATATAGCACTTAACCAATAAGAGTACTGATTTCAAAAATGCTTTTATTTCTCAACATAATCTCACTGTACACTGAGGCACTTGTCCCATCGTTTCACAAGCCCTTGAAAACCAGCAGCATAAAATTCTTTGGACCACTGTCGGAACTAGGCGGTGACTTCCCTTTCTACAGCTTCATTGTCGGGGAAATGTTCAGCCAAAAAATGATGTTTAAGATGGCCAAACAAATGGAAGTCGCTTGGAGCAAGGTCGCGACTATATGGAAGATGCTCGAGGACTTCCCACTTGAAATTTGGCAGCGTCTCATTTGTCTTGTTGGCAGTATGGGGACACGTGTTGTCATGCAAGAGCAACACGCCTTTGGTGAGGAGTCCTGGTCGCTTCCATTGAATGGCCTTACGAAGTTTCCTGAGGATATTACAGTAAGAGTCGGCATTTATGGCATTTTCTNTTGTCCATATACATTGTGTGAGTGTAACAGGATGCTGAAATATAATATAGTAAACAATTTTATGCTGTTTGTTTTCAGGGGCTTGTGGAATGATGGGACAAGTGCCTCAATGTACAAAGAAATCATGTTGAGAAATAAAAGCACTTTTCAAATCAGTACTATTATTTGTTTAAGTTCTATATCCATTTGTATCTTACTTATTGACTTACCCTCGTATATCAACCACAGAACATTCCACTTGACTGATTAAATGCAAGATATACAAGAGCAATATTTGCAACACTAGAAGTCTGAGAAAAATAAACAGAAACTTCCTCTTGCCAATGAAACAGTTTCTGCTAGGCCTGCAATGACTCAATCTGATGCTTTGTGGCTGGGTGCCCTTCAAATGGAATTCATTCATATGTTAATAAATGGCATAACCATGTAAAGTATTTGAATTCTCAATACTTTTTACTTATCTCAAATAAAGAATGATTTTTTCTCTGTTATTCAATCTCTATGAAACAACAAAGTAACTCTTACATACCTCTGCACTTGGTAGTAAAAAAGTTTAATTAATATACAAAAACTGGCTAGCTGACAGAATCATTAATAGTTAAAATTCACCTGATGTAATCAAAATATAGTGGAAATAAGGAGTTCAAAGAAAAATTCATACAGCCAACTTTCCTACTGCATATGGTTATAGTCTTACAGATCTACTTTATTATAATTGTTGCTGTTTTGTTTTTATGAGGAACTTGTTACTTAAAAGTTCATATTTTGTCTACGTTACATCTGTCAGTTAAGCCTCAGAGGTCTGCAGTATCACCACATTTTATCTGTTCACTTATAAACAATATTTCACATATAATGTATAGGTATTCAGTTATTCAGTATAGAGGGGGTGGGTTTCCCCATGCACCGCGACTAATAGTCTATTGTACGTCCCCCTTTAATTTCTACTGTCGCCATACCCTACTGATACTGGTGCCCACTATCTCCCCTTTCTGTCAGTGAGGTCGGCCCTCTACTGGCAGTGGTACCCGATAACTTTCCCCTTTCTGCCAGCAAGGTCAGTCCTCTACTGGCATTGGTACCCGATAACGTCCCCATCTACCGGAGGCATTGGAAACTACTTGGGCGGGAAACATTTTGCCTAATTTTCCTCAGAGGTCTCCTAGAGACATGAGGATCTTTTACGTGCCGTAAATCTACAACATAGGACCCACGGCTTAAAGTTGCTCCCAGAGGACTTGTTCCCTGAATTTTTCCACCCTTAAAAATTCCACGACCTCCGCCAGGTTTGAACCCATATACCTTAAGTCATGAGGTGGGAACGTTACCCCTAGACTACGGAGGCCACTTAATGTATAGGTAAGTTAGTGATATATCGCCATAACAAGCTTCACTAGTTCATTAGTTACTGCCAGCAAACCAACAGCTAATGAGAATTTTCACACATCCCTTTATAGTACTCTGCACCATACCCAAACTCCTATCCTGAATTCCACTGTGAGATAATAACAGTAGAAAGCTGGAAAGTACAACATTCAGGTGATTTCCACTGAAATCATGTTTATACCGCATTTTATGCATATCAATTAACATTCTCTCCAAACTTTCTTAACTTCAGGATCCCTTTCCACTGGATAACACCACACCCATATTTCTATCCCCCACTTCCATGATAGGACATATATATATTTGGCTTCACCTGCTTCTGCCTCATTCACTCTGAACATAACAACCACAATGTATTCCAAAATGTTGGAAAACTTCCTTACATGACCTCACTAAACTGTGAAAGCTGAAATCACACACTGGTTCAAAAGCTGAAAGGGACACACAGAGACAGCATGATGATCTCATAAACCTTTTCCTATTCTTAAAGATAAGAATGTAGGCTAAACAGTATGCTAACAATGTACTATTTGCATTCCTTTGCTCAGTTCCATTACAATAAATTCCAATTCAACTTTCTGCATTCACTGCAGTGTGATGTAATGACATTTTTCCACAGCATGAAGCTAAAACTACAATTAAAAGAATATCAAGTGTGCATGTAACATATGTTAATTTACCATATGTGGGAAGGACTTGCCCAGTATGGCAACAAACTCTTCTGCCTTCTTTATGTTACCAGTCACGAACACTATTGGACGTGCCATATTAACTGGAAAGCCTGTAACAGTGTATCAAATTTTAATCACTAAAGAACATGATTTATAAAAATATGGCCCAAGCTATCAAATTTCACACTTGTATTAAGGACGATGAGATGGGTGGGGCATGTAGCATGTATGAGAGTTGAGGAATGCATGCAGACTTTTGGTTGAAAAACATGAAGGAAAGAGACTACTTCAAAGACCTGGAGGATATTAAAAAGACAGGATGGGTGAGTGCAAGCTTAATTATTTTGCTTCAGGATAGGGATCACCAGAAGTACCTTGTGAACATGGTAATGAACCCCCAGATTCCATGCAACATGGGGAACTTCTTGACTACTTGCTACTCACGAACAACTCTCCCCATGAAGTTAGTTAAGTCTCAGTCTGTTATAGTCTTCACCAGTTTCTGGCTCATGACAATGGAGATTCTTCATCTTCTGTGCTCACATCACTGCAGGCTGACTACTATTTTACAACACTCATTGCTGCAACTCATGGCATCATTAGCCATCACCATCTACTCACTGGCTGGCTGACTGCTAAATTGCTTCTTGCCCTTGCCAGCACAGTGATTCTTGATTCCAAGTCCCAAGGGACTCATGGCAATATTTTATTGTCTAATGGCTCTGGGAGCCTTCAGATCATCTCTGGACTGGCTCTCAAAGTCAAAGTCAAAGTTACTTTATGACTGGCAGGTTTACCGCCAATCTCCTTGAGGATCATAACCAGAGATTTTTTTTCAACTGAACCCTTGTGGTTACAGTCCTTATACAACATCCTCACTGACAAGATGAGTTTGTCTCTCATGAATACGCTTGGCCTTTTGTCAACTGTAAGTATTCTTCCTGCACTACATGCAAGTCCTCTGTTAGTGCAGACTTTGCAAAGCAGATCATACCTATCTTACATATATTTATGCTACAATGGTAGCTTAGTCACTTGAAAGTCATAAGCTTGACCACTGTCAAGTTTAAACCTCTTATATTTTCTGTCTGGCTTCACCTTGTCCTATACTGTGAACATATTCATTTTCATGATTTTTAGGACTTCTGCCTGTTGCCAACATAATTTTCTTACATAATCGTATGCATATGTGAGGTTCAAAGCCATATGCAAATCGCAGACCAGTGTGCACCTTAGAAAATTTCCAGTGGTGCCAACAACCTTGTTTTGCAAGTGCTGCAATTTTAAGCATAAGTGTCTGCCTCTAATTACCAGGTGGGGCAAGCACAAGTGATCACTGATCTGATCAGTGTCTTATGGAGGGTTAGTTTAATATTCACGCTTAAACCCTCACTTTTGAATAGGGGGTAGATTCTAATAAATGTTCTGAATGCATTGGCTTGAATCATTTCTCTTTGCAGCTTCCATGTAGTCTTCTTATCAAAGATTACACTGAGATATTTTACATGATTGAAAATGGGGATATTCCATCCATTCAGTGTAAGATGGGCTTCAGGAGGCCTAAGTCTATGAGAAGAGTAGATGGCTCGAGTCTTATCTTCATTGATCTTTATATTCCAGCACTCACACCACATCTCAGTAGCACTGAGACCTCACTGCATCTTTCTGGGAACTTAACCCTCTTTGTCATTTGTTCCATATATACAGATGTCAACAGTAAAAAGACCTAGACAGACACTGGACGGGAGGCTCTCTCAGCCCGCACTATATAGCCTCAGGATGGACCCCATAGAAGTCACTGCTTCCAACAGTTCCTCTATTGTTGCGAGAGTGCCTATTGCCACAATATGTATTTATTGGGCTGTTACCTAACAATGGGCTGTTTCAGTCATCATTCATTCATTCATCTGTAATCTGTCAAGACAACAGGTTTACAGTCTCTTCCAAAACAGTCCCTCCACTTGATGTGATCTAGAGCTTTCTCCTTCAAATGAAAATATCCTCTTCTGTCCCCAAGGTCATCCAGCATCTTCTTACATCTTATGGTCACTTCTATCCATCCCTCTATCTTTCCTTCAATAACTTCCTTTAGAAGGCAGTTATGGCGTAAGATATGACCAATCCAATTAGCCTTCCATTTTCTTATTTCGTGTAGGATATTCCTCTGCTCACTGACTCTGCTCAGTCATCATGTCACACTATTATCCAACATTGTAGACAGATCTGTTTCCTTCCCTTCTTCCTTCATTCATTCCTGTTATGCCACAGATTTTGAGACTA